AACAACATTACAAGATGAAAATTTAGATATATTATTAGCTATAGATACATTAACAAAAACCATATGTTTATTAAATAAAATAAGAAATGATGAAGATTCTATAAATAATCTATTAGAACTTGCTGAAGAACGTATGATAAATTACGATGTAGATGCTGATGCTAAATTTGGTAAAACACATCGACGTCGTTTAAGATTATTGTAAGAAATTTAGTTTTACGTTTTGCTCGTATCGATTCGACTTTGGATAGTTTATGTCACATTAAGGTTAAAAACTTCAAAGCAGGTCAAATAAGTTTAACATATGATTTGTTATTGACTGAGTAGTTTTGTATCTGAATTCCAAATAATTATAATAATCGCATTAACGATACCTTTCAAAGGAATTTGTTAAAGCAAAAACGTGCTCTAATATAGCTCTCGGATATATGCAACGACTTTGTCGTATAAAAATCTTCATTTTGTTTCAGTTCGAAATGTGATAAGAAGTTGTAGATTTAAATCAAACAATTACTTGAGAAATAGAAAGAACATAATGACAATATATTAAAATAATATTGTATTTTTAGACAATTGATTCAAATGCTCATAATGAAGTGATTTTGTCTAGGTAAATATAAACTAAATACTATACACATAAATGATGGAAAAAGTGTTTTATTGTTTTTTTAGACAAACATATTATAGAAAAATATTTTATCAAATCATTGACCAACTGAATAATGAATATACTGATTTATGACATACATTAGAAGAAAAATTAAAATATGTTACTTGTTTACCTTGAGGGCCGAAAAAAGCCTGGACTTTTATAGATGAAAAAAAATAAAAATATACATATGTGAAAAAATAAAAACGTATATGCTTGTTTGGACCCTCACTATATGTCAATTAAAAGAGTAAATAAAGCCGTTTAAAATGCGCCGGTTTTCGCGTATTTCATGTGTCATTTCATGATTGAATTTATTAAAATAATGAATACTATATCTAATTACAAGTGAGCATACTCTGAAAATCACCCTAAAACCTCACC